TAGGAACTGCCAGAGTCGAGCTGGATTCAAATGAGGATGGGAAACAAGGGATATCAATGCTAACATCAGATGGATCTTAGCTGAAAGCAAAGAATACCAGAAACATATTTACTTGTACTTTATTGATTATGTAAAGGCTTTTGACTGTGTGGATCATGAAAAACTATGGATACCATTGTGAAGAATGGATATTCCAGAACATTTAATTGTGTTCATGAGGAACCTGTACATAGACCAATAGGCAGTTGTTAGAACAGAATAAGGGGATCCTGAATGGTTTAAAATAAGGAAAGGTATGTGCCAAGGTTGGACATTTTTGTACAAATTTATGCAATCTGTATGCTGAGAAAATAATCTGAGAAGCTGCATCATGTGAAAAAGAAGAAGGCATCAGGATTTCAGAAAGATTCACTAGCAACTTGCAAATGATACAACCTTGTTTGCTGTGAGTAAAGAGGATTTAAAATACAAATGAATATCAAATACTGCAGTCTTCAGTATGGACTGCACCCCAATATAAAAGAAACAAAAATCGTCACAAGTGGACTAATAAATAACATAATGATAAATGGAGAAAAGACAGAAGTTGTAAAATACTTCATTTTTCTTGGATCCACAATCAACAGGCATGGAAACAGCAGTCAAAAAATCAAATGACATAATACATTAGGTGAATCTGCTGCACAAGATCTCCCTAAATTGTCTAAGAGCAAAGATGTCAGTTTGAAGACTAAGGTGCACCTGACCCAAATCATGGTATTTTCAAAAGCCTCATATGTATGTGAAAGCTGGATACTAAATAAGGAAGACCATAGAAGAATTGATGCATTTGAGTTATGTTGTTTGAGAAGAATGTTAAAAGTACCATGGACTGCCAGAAGAACAAATGAATCTTTTTTTGAAAAAATGCAGTTAGAATGTCCCTTAGAAGCCAGGATGGCAAGACTTCATCTCTTATCATTCAGATATGTTATCAGGAGGGACCAATTCCTGGGGAAGAACACTATGCTTGGTAAATGGAGGGTGAACGAAAAAAGGAAGACCACCAATGAGTTGATTAACACAGTGACAGCAGCAATGGGCTCAAATGCCAGAATAGCAAACAGATCTTCGTCAGAAGAATTGCAGCCAGAAAGGTGAAACTTTATCTATCATACTTCTGACATGTTGCCAGGAGACACCAGTCCCTAGAGAAGAACCAATCCCAGGAGAGGATGCAGCAGCAGCAATGGATTCAAATATAATAGCAATTGTGAGGATCGTGCAGGAGTGGGCAGTGCGTTGTTCTGTTGTGTATAGGGTCACTATGAGTTGGAGCCAACTCTAACAACAACATTGAGCATTTCCAGCACATCTTTCCACTGAGGTAATCAATTTGATTCCTGTGTGTTCCATCTAATGAGGTCCATGTGTATAGATAACTGTTTATGTTACTGAAAAGAGGTATTTGCAATTAAGAAGTGATTGATCTTGCAAAATTCTATCATGGGATCTCAAACATCATTTCTATCACCAAGCCCATATTTTCCAATTACTGATTATTCTTCTTTGGTTTTCAACTTTCACATTCCCATTACCAGTAATTATCAATGTATCTCCATTGTATGCTTGATCAGTTTCAGACTCATTTTATCTATTTCAGACTGAAAATTTTGGTAGATTTCTTCAATTTCTTCATAGCTGGCTTTATGGTTGGGTAAATTTAAATACTAGTTGTATTAACTGGTCTTCCTTGTAGGTGTATAGATATTTTCCTATCACAGACAGAATTATTTTTGATGATGAATATGGTGTCATTTTTCTTAATTTTTAAACCTGGCATAGCAAACCATATTCTTGTCTAATTCAAAATGTCCAATAAGCTTACTTGCTTATGATATTGAT